ATTTTAAAACATCATGTTAGTAACCTCTTCACCACCACCACCAGGATAGATCTTCCATTAAGGGCAATTATGACAATGTTTTGCATACAATATTATATTATAGTTACTATAATTAATTGTTACACTGGTGGAAATAAATTTGCAAAATGATGTAACACCATTGTTATCACATTAATATTAATAAACATGTCATTAATAGGTAAAAGTTTGAGTTACCAGGAAGTTTGCCAGTAATACTAACACATAGTATATCCCAAAATATAGGAGTTTGAATGTAATAAATTATTTATTAATTATTTATAAATTTGGTTTTAGACGTATTACTACTTCGTACAGATACTGTATTTTAGTGGACATTATTGTTTGAGACAATAAGCGATTGTTATCTTTAATTGTAATAACTATATGTGAAATTGAGTGAAAATAGTAGTTCTGAATAACCATATTACACAATAAACTACTTACGAAAACAACTGTGTTGTCTGTGAGTCTGCACCCTAAGTTCATAAAGAACCTCAGAGGCTATAGCTGCTCAGTTTCTGCTCTCCTGCTAGCCCAGTGAATGATTAACAAAGGCCAGTTCTATGGCATCACATTAGAGTTCATTCCAGACCCCGACAAACCATTAAAGAGTTCAATGGTTAAGGTAGAGCTCCCAAAGGGTTTAGACGAGAGGACGATCGGGTCACTTACATTAACAAAGGCCAGTTCTATGGCATCACATTAGAGTTCATTCCAGACCCCGACAAACCATTAAAGAGTTCAATGGTTAAGGTAGAGCTCCCAAAGGGTTGTGGCTGTGGAGATGGACTAATTGTTTGATTGCTTTGTTTAGTCACTTATTATGCTTGTGTTTCGTGAGGAGAAATTGCACGACGAAGAGGTGAAGGCCTGGCAGTTCTGGCACAGCCGACAACATAGTGTCAAACAACGTATTCTTGACGCTGACACCAAGAATTCGGCCGGAATTGTGGGTCCCATCGAAGAAATAACACACAATGCCATCGCTTTCTATTGGAATCCATTGGAAGGACCGGCAAAAGTATAACTCAAATCACATTAAGATTAAAATTCACTAAATATTTATTCTTATTTCAGGTCAACGTTGCCGTCCAATGCCTTAGCACTGACTTTAGTAATCAAAAAGGAGTGAAAGTAATAAAAATTGCTTTTTTATGGCAAAACGTGTGCCTTTTATTAATTGAATGTCTCTTTAAAGGGCCTTCCATTACATTTACAACTCGACACTTTTGATGACTTTCGGGAGGGCAGTACACCTGTCCATCGGGGCTATTGTCAGATCAAAGTATTCTGTGATAAGGTATTATTGCTATGAGTTTTTGTCGAAATTATTAATTCTAATAAAATGCTGACAAAAAGGGCGCCGAAAGGAAAACACGGGACGAAGAGAGAAGAGCTGCCAAACGAAAACTTTCCGCCACTGGAAGTATGAAATGCTTTTTAAATAAAATTATAACTATTTATAGTTTTAAAAT